TTTAGGCTTTGGGGTTTAGGATTTACGTTTAGTGGAGGCCCATGATTAATGAACCCCCTCCTTTTAAGGGCCGCCTAGATATTAAGTTCCCTATTATAATCCCTATTCAGGGGACGGGGGGTTATTAATCAGGGGTCTGGGTTCTAGGATTCCCTTGCAGTGGTTTATAGGGATTATGTTGGGTTCTGGTTTTGGGGCTTAGGGTTTCAGCGTTTGTTTTTTCTTCGCGGCTGAACCATGGCCCATACTTGGAGGATTAGGCCTCCAATTTTTTGAAAGCCCCAGCCTTCCGCCGGAAACAGCCATCGGCGTCATTCTGCCTCAGCAGGCGGGGTGGATTTGCCAAGGTCTGCATTGCTGGTTCCTTATTGGGATGCTCTATAAGCATACTACCTACACCTTTATATGGTAGTTTCCCAAATTAAGTGGACCCTAATGTAGACCCCAAAATACTATAATCCTTATTATGGGGACCCCTAAAATGGTACCCCTAATTTTAGGAAACCCCCATATACCTTTGGGTTCACATACCACACCAACAGCTGAAAGTTGCATTCAACAATGACACAGTCTAGATGCACAACAATACTGGGTTGGCCCCTAAAACCCTTTGAAAAATCTCAGTATATAGGGTCCCTCATTAAAGCCATTAGGAAGAAGAATCAAAATCCCAGGGGCCCACTCAAATAACAACAATAGGTACGATGAAGAGCGATCATGATTGGCAAGGGTCAAGTAGGAGACTGCTTTCGTCTCCAGGCCCCTAAGGGACCCGCCAACGTCTAGACCATGATGGCAACCAGTAGTGCAGCTGTACAGGGTCTAGTCGTGATGGTCGTCATGTACAGCGCTAAAACCATCATCATCATCATCATCATCATCACAATCATCAGACCAATCATCATATCCGAAGCGTTCAAACATAAAACATCCGTGTAAGCTTCTTGTGAACCTCCAGCAAACCTCTTCCTGAACTACGGAGCCTAAAGCATCAACTCGATAGACGCTGATCCCATAAACCCCAAACTCAAAAACCCAAGCTCACACCCAAAACTCAAAGACCAAAACTTGCACAACTATAGAAAGGACAAAATGACCTTACTACGCCCGAGGCCCTCAAACCACAGCTCCTACGCCACCTGGCACAGGATTCTAGTTTAGGGTTTCGGACGCTGGACACCAAATATGTGCACTCACTGATATTCCCAAGGAATCCTAGAAACACTCCATATACCCTAAAGCCTTCGCCAAGAATGAACAACAAAAAAACTGTTGCCAAAGCACGCTTCGTCAGGTAAGCTCATGGGGAGGAAGACGGTGATATCCAGGGGCACAGGCCTGGCCCGGTGGGGACTTGGTAGTTTCCCAAAATAAGGGGACCCCAATATACTATAATCCTTATTATACGGACCTCTAAAATGGTAACCCTGATTTTGGGGAAGCATGTGACATACCTAGTTCGCCTCAGCAGGTAAAATGACGGCCTGTTTGGGGGGGGGGGTGGGCTGTTTTTAGGGGTGTTGGTACATCATTTTACCTAAATCTGACGTAGCAGTCTGTGCCTAAGGGCAAAGACCATTCAGATCCTGGTATTCGGCCGAAAACCGACAAGCTCAGTTTTTGAGTCCTTGGACCCTGCAGGTTTTGAGAATCTTGCTTCAAAACCCAAAGCCCTACAGCCTACACCCTAAACCCAAAACCTTAAACCAAAATAGCGCTAAACCTTAAACCCTAAGGGTGGCTTTTGCAAGTTGGCATGCCCTTAAACCTCTGCGTCCTTAGGCTCTTCCATGAAAGCGGCTTGTCTGGCTCATCTACCGTAGGTTATGTGGGAGCTTTATGGGGTTTAGGGTTCAGGGTCTAGGGTTTGGGGGGATATATAGGCATAATGGAGAATCAAATGG